TTTGGGCTGTGCTTCTTGTGCATCCGTGAAAATAAAAAAGCAGGCAGTGCAGCAGGAAGTAGCTTTGCCAGGATGGACCTGGATTACCTGCGCAGTCCTTTTCTGCGCTGTCCCACACAGTTGTCATATAACTGCCAGCGATGCTGATACTCTTTTTAATTTGCTGTGAACTGTGTGTAGCAGATGTTCTTCCCTGTTAAAAGCGAGTGGGACTGTCAAAGCCACCTTCCTTCAGGCGTGTTGTCAGGAGTTCTGCCACATTGCCTGCCTGCTTATCCCTAACCTCTTCCTCCTGCGTCCTCTTAGCCTGGTGAGAGGAGAGCTGAGCACATACCTCATCATTCACACCTCTCTCTGCTCACACCTTGTGGGCGCCTCCTGATTTTCTAGTGTCTTATTAATTCAGGTAATCCAGGTCCATCCTGGGAAAGCTACTTCCTACTGCACGGCCTGCTTTTTTATTTTCACAGATGTACAAGAAGCACAGCCAAAATTTTGATTCCAAAGGTCCTGGCTTTGATACCCGCGCAGAAACCCCAACTCGGTGTGATCAGGAGACATAGATAAAACATGTTATTGCCATGCCCAGCCCAGTTTCTCAGGGCTGTTGCTGTCAAACTCCTGCACTTGACTTGATTCTGCTCTTTGAGCCCAGTGGCTTATGGATTTCAATCTGCAGGTCTGACATCTGAAGACGGCACACGGGACCATTGGGGATGACCCTGCTTGGAGCAGGGGTTGGACTAGATGACCACCTGAGGTCCCTTCCGACCCTCGTTTCCTTACAAACGCTCGCTGGTTGAATTGTCAGCTGGTTGGCTTTTGAGTGCACATAGATGACATGCTGTTGTTTCTGTGTGTGGACTGGTTGAGTGCAACTCATCCCCTCTTTTCCACTGCAAATACTTGCAATTCTGAATAAAAAAATTAATCTCCTGCTAATAAGTTTTCAGACTTCTCTGCTTCCACAAACCTTCCTGCTAATGAACTGGTCCACTGCAGTGTGTGGAATGTGAATGCAAATGTTTCTGAGATGTAAATAATATTCCTAAGCCCGTTTCTTCCAGATGTGCAGGATAACCTCTGGAGTTCATTTCAGGTCGAGCCTGGCTGTACCTGGCGCTCAATGAGAACTCCTTGGAGAGCTACTTGAGGTTGTTTCAGGAGAATCTGAGTTTGCTCCACAAATACTATGTCAAGTGAGTGCCACTGTCCTCTCAGCCCTGCACTGTGTCCCTTGAGCTCCACCACTGTTTACATTTATGCTCTTAGAAGACAAGTCTCCATATTTGCTTAGCCAGACCTGCAGTAAGTTAGGGTCCGTGCTTGCCTCCAGGGTCAGGGGAAGTGCAGAGTGAGTTCCTGGGAGCATCTCGGCCATAAAGCTCAGTTGTGCAGCCAGAGGGACTGCTGTGTCGAACCGTGTTCAAGCCCTGTCTGGAGCCAACAGCTGGGACCAGCTTGCAAAGTTTCTGCTGTGTGCTGGCAGTCCCTTTATACATGGATGCTTTAAGCCGTTTGCAGGGAAGGTGTGGTATAGACACGTGGCTTGTCAAAGCCAGTTTCTTCTGGAAGCCGCAGAGAACATGGAGTATGCGGGAAGTAATGAAGGCTCATCCTCAGACTTCCTTTACTGACTTTGGGTAAAATATTTAAGAGAGTGTAAGGGGCTGAGGACCTTAAACCCCAGTGACTGACCATGAGACTGAGGCTCCTAGGCCCCTTGGCTGTTTTACCTTTAACAATTCCAGTGTTCGTGACCACATAAACGGTTATAAATGTAGCTGTTCTTACAGGCACTACCTGACTGTTGCATTGTTTTATGTATTACCTGTACTCTGCTTCTCTGTCTTGCATGATGCCAGCTCTGCATTCATTGGAGGCTCTCGTTTTTATTATTTTTATTTTGTTGTGATCGTGTATGGGGATGGGGCTCTACTGGGCTGCTCACTTGTCCGATGCTTTGAAAGCAAGGAATCTGGTAAATGTATAAGCTATGCGTTTAAAGGAGAAAGCTCCCAGACTTGGTAGATTTTTTTTTTTTTTTAAATTCTCTGTGTTATCCAAAAAGCTGCCAACATGTGTCTCATCCAGAGAGCAGATACCTCGGACATGCCCAGAAATCTGACCTTAGCTAATGTGCAGCCAACTAGTTCTCCTGGCCCTTGAGACTACAAAGAGAAATGTGCAGCTGTCACAGATGCACAGCCCCGAGGAGCCTTGAGCCCTGAGGCTGCTGGTGGAAGAGAAGGGTTGATACGCTGAAGACAGCGGGATCCCGCTTGGGCTGTCTGGGGCTTGCTTATACTGTAGCTCAGGGCCATATTGTGGGGATTAGAAGAACAGATGGGTGGAGAATGTATTTGGACTTGTAAGGTCATGTGCTCTGCAGGGGCACTCGGGGCTTTCTTCTCGGTGCCAAAGCTGACCGTTCTTGTGTTTTATCTGTGTCACAGGAATGCCTTGGTCTGCAGTCATGATCACCTGACCTTGTTCCTTACGCTGGTATCTGGGCTGGAATTCATCCGCTTTGACTTGGATCTGGTGAGGATTCGGGTCTTGTCTCCCTGGCTTTGCTGATGGACAGAATGTGTGTAGAGCAGGAAAGCCCCGCACACCATAGATCGACGGGTGCTGGAGTGTAGCTGTGATGGTCTAGGATATGTGTGAGAAATGAGGGGTTTCTTTTTGTGACATCTTTGTATTAGACCAACTCTGTAATTGGAAGAGATGATGCATAAGATTTTTGGGAACAAAGTACCTTTGTTCCTCGAAGCATACTTAGGGCCAGTTAAGTATTTAATCAATTCCTCTTCTTGGCTACATCTTTACAGCTTAGGAGGAATTCTTGGTCAGAGCCGTCTTCTAGTTTCACAAGTTAGCACTTCTCCAAATCAACAGAAAATGTGACTTTCTAACCTCTGCTAGGGCAGGGGAATGCAGCAAAGGGCTGTCACATGAGCCAAGGAACAGGGTCCTTCTAAGCAGAACAGTTTATTTAGTTTTGCAAATTGCTTCCCTAAGCTCACCAATATACCCTGAGTTTTAAAAAGACAGGACAGGTCATCCTCTGTACCCTAAAGAGCTCACAGTCCTAGACAGAGATGAGATGTGGTCCATTGCCCAGGAAAGGGAAGTGGTCCTGGTTCGCTGGTGAGGTCAAAGAAGTGGGAATGATTCTTGGAAGAAGGGCTTTGAAAAAGGATGCTTGGCTGCCGATAGAGCTGCTGCCGTAGGTGTGTGGAGATCACAAGGTCAAAGGCAGAAAACAGCAAATAAGAAAAGAAAGAGGGTGGGAGGGAGCGAGAGTGTTTGGGTGAGGAACTGAGAGGAGAGGTGTAAGCGGGTGTGAGTTACTGTAGGGACTTTTTGGCAATAAGAGACCAGTGAATGAAGCGAGGCACGGTCTCCTATTGCAGTAGTGAAGGGAGATGATGGAGCTAGAGAAGACTGGGCCTGTCACGAGCAGCGCTGCCGGAGGGAGCAGGAGAAATGACGGGGGCTTCCTTTCCGATACCCTAAGCAACATCAGGTTATAAGGTAGTCACTGCGCTGCCTTTGCATCCCTAAGGGAGCTGGTGATGTGGAAGACACTAGCACTGAGAAAGAAGAGATGGCTGCAATGCAGGACTGTTTGCTGATGGGATTGCTTAAGCTCTTTTAACACCAGAGTTATTCAGGCACGTGTTACAGTACTCAGACCTGGAGCTGCACTGAAGTTTCAGCAGACTCCAGCTGAAATGCTCTTCAAGCCATGGACTCTGTTCACTTTCTCCAACGAGCCTGTTTCCATCAGCCGCTCTGTGGCACAGGCTTACTTCTTGCTGCAGGTTCAGTCTCCTGTGATGGTGTCCTCTAATCACCTGGTCAGAGCAAACTGACTACTGCTTTATCAGCAAGTCGTTTCTGTTTTCTCAGCACCTGCCCGCCACAAGAAAAGAGATTGGGTTCCCCAGTGCCAGTGAACTGAGATGCCTGTATCTGCATTTCTGCATTTGTCTGTGTTGGTAAAGAGAAACAGAAATGCCATGGGGTCCAGTTCTGCTAGCTCACATTTCCCAGGGCTGCCTCTGTTTCTGTAGTTATAAAAACAAAATATTTGATAACAACCTACAGGATGAATAATGCATACAAAGGTACATTAACCTCAGCAGCTTCCTGCTCAGTTAGGAGAGAATTTTTCCAAGCAGCGACACCAATTTAGATGCCAGTGAAAGGGTTGTTCCCAGCCCTGAGCTGTGTGACACTACCAATTCCAGGGTGGGTATTGCTCAGGCATCTGAGAAGCACTGGTAGAGCTGTGGGAACAACTGGGGAAGAATGGGGGCCCGCAGGTCAGGATTGGGGGGTCACCAGAAGAGCTGAGCAGAGGAGCCCAAGATGGCAACAGCGAAGGATACCGTAGGTCAAGAGTGAAATGCAATTGTGCACCTGTGCAGTGGAAGCACGCTGACATTTGTCTGCTGCTGGCTACCAATGAGCTCCTCTTTCAAAGAGGAATAAGCCATTGACAGGTTATCGAAACACTCGTCCTCTCTGATTGCCCCTGCCTTTAACAGACATTTGTAACCTGCCATTTCTGCATTGCCAGCGTCTTTCTGCACTGTTTTCTTTATACTGCCCTCACTACCTGTTTTGTAGGAGTAAAGGCCTGTTCCTAATCGGACCTGATGTACTGTGTTATATTCTTACTCCCAGGATGCTCCCTACTTGGACCTAGCACCCTATATGCCAGATTACTACAAGCCTCAGTACTTGCTGGACTTTGAGGATCGCCTGCCCAGCTCCGTCCACGGCTCAGACAGCCTCTCCCTCAACTCCTTCAATTCAGTCACCTCGACCAATCTGGAATGGGATGACAGTGCCATTGCTCCATCGAGTGAGGGTAAGTGGCCTTGAAGAGCAAATGAAGAGGGGCTGGGAGTGGTTATGCAGCATCTCTGCCCAAGAGCCTGAGCGCTGCAGAACAGTGAGGAGCGGCTCGGGTTCGAGGATAGTCTCTTTTCCCCAGTGAAGTGTTTGAAGCAGCTTGCGCATTTGAACAATGCATTTTCCCATTTGCTAAGAGCCCACTAACTGGATGAGAGAGAAGTGTGGGAGCTGGGTGCCGGGGCAGATTATAGGGCCCCCCCTCCTCCAAGGAGTGCCTCACAGGTTGCACTCTGAGCCAGGTCAGCCTTGCTTCCAGAGGTGTGGTCAGTGGAGACCACATGTCTCAGTGGTTCAGTGTGGCTTCTTGATCCAAGCTGGCAGACTCTCCTAGGAGAGCTAGCTGTGGCTGGAAGAGAAGAGCTTTCTGTGCCACGTGTCACTGGCAGTCTCTTTGCATCAGGGCATATTCCCATCCTTGAGCCGTAAAATTCCCCGTGTGCTACAGGAAGGGACGCTGCATTCTTCCAGGAACTCAAACTGAGTGTTATGCAGTGGGACAGCTGGAGTTGAGGCTCCGGTCCAAACCAGGGGATGGACATGTCTTCTCAATATTAACTGACCTTGAGTAATGGATGTAGGATAACTGCAGCTATCTTTGCAGGTAGCTGCAGAGCAAAAGCTGGGTCCACATCTGAGCATTGCTCTCCCCACCCCAGTTCAATGTAGCATGTAGGCCTGTAGATCTAGAGAGGCTCAGGTGTGTCATTACGAACTATCACGCAGTGAGTTAAAGTGGTTTTGTGAGCTTGAGGACAGAGAAGGGACTGTCACGCCGAACACTGGGCCTTTCCTCAGCGTTTGTTTGATGGTCCCCACTACCAAAAGCTAATCAGCTGAGATGCGCTGGGTAGTAATTCCTGCCGCAGCCAGCTGGGAGGGAAAAGGCCATACCCTTCCCTTAGAGCCAGCACCCCCAAGCAGCCACGTGACCAGCCAGGATGCTTTCGACGTGAGTGAGCTGTAAACTTTGTAATTGTGTCACAAACCCTGTTGGAATAAGGGCATGCGTGCACGTGGAGTTGCTCCGGATTAGTTATGTCTGGTAACTCCATGTGTGGATACTCTCGTTTCAGGTTAAGAATGCTTTGTTCTTGGTTAAAATGGATTAAGCTAAGCTGAAACAAGGCACTGTTTTTCCAGAATAAGAGCATCAATGCACAGAGCTTTTTCAAAAGTAATTCCTTGTGTAGGCAAGATCTATACGTGGTGTCCAGGATCTGTCAGGCTCAAATGGGGGTGGTCTTTCAGCAGGATGTACCAAAATTATCTGCCATCCCTGTTGTCTTTTTTGCAAGATAGAAGCATGGAGAGTTCAAGAGAGAAGGAATGGCCCATTTGGGTCATTCCATGTTGAACCCAGTGGCAAAGTTTACAGCAGTTTTATCTAGCTCTTTCCTCAGCTTCTTAGCAGCCCTTCTGACTTCCCAGAGGTGCCAGCCTCTGGGCATTGTCACATAGCAATGGGAGGCAGTGCAGAAGGCTCCCTCAGTAATAGTCAGGGGGTGCCCCTAGCGGTAATCAGTCCATTTTGCATTGAACCCCCAGCTCTTTTTCTCTGGCAGTATATAGGAGATTTGGCCCAAACTATTGGCTTGCACCATGTCACATCAGACGTAACCCTGCTCTGGCCAGCAGCAGAAGGTGCTTGGGCTCCAGCACTTATCTTCTATCCAAAGTCTGTTCATTCACCTGGGGAGTGTGGATAGTGCCACAGTGTAGTTACAGTGGTCAATGTGTTAATCAAATGCTGGTGAGGACTGGAGCCCTGGAGACGCAGATGCGAGTTGAAACTCTTAGGAAGCTGGGAGCGTGGTTTATAGCCAGGAACAGAGCCGGGAACCCTTTGTTAGGTTGTTACAGCTCCGTCACCAGCTCCCTGTGTGATTCTGGCTGCCAACTCTTCATCTGTGTCTCAGTTTCCCCATCTGTGAAAGGAGCCAACACTGTTCCTCCTCTCACCCCCTGTCCCCAAATGGGCTCAGGCAGGAGGTAGGGCAGGTGGCACCTTAGAGACCGACGGGTTGAGAGAAGCAGGAGCTTTCATAGACAACTATCTGCTTCGGATGGCTGTGAGAGGACAGTTCAGCCTCTCTGAACCAGGTAGGCTCTAAGGTGCCACCTGCTCTGCCCGTGGCCTGGCTTCAGACTAACACGGCTTAACACCTCCGTGGGGCTCAGTGAATTGAAATTTGTAAAGTCCTTAGATAAGATATGCCAGAACCAGTCACTGTTTTTACCAGGTGTCCAGCATTTGGTTTGGAGAGAAGTGTGAGCATCCTTCGTTTAGGCAGCGGGCCATTTGCTTTGAAGCAGGATGATGACAAGTAGATGTTAACATGATTAACTGTTTTACTGCTGATCATTTTGACAGGAACTTCCAACTACTCTGGGAATGTAGGTGGAGTTTGGGATTTTAGGTGGAGCTTGAGCAGAGGACAAGTTGCCCCCCTTAATCAGACCCTTGGCATTGCAAACACTAATGAATCAAACATCACAATACCTCGGGGAGGTGAGTATCTGTGGGAAACTGAGGCACAGAGAGGTGAAGGGATTTGTGCAATGAGCGCTGTCAAGTCATGAGAACTCAGGACTTCCTGGCTCTCGGCCTGAGGCACGAACGGCTAGGCCATATCCATCCCTGCCCACTTCACTTTGACAGTGCCTCCCATAATGGCCCCCAAGCTCAGATCAGGCCCCTGGGACCTAGTACAATACTAATAACAACAAGCAGTGAGGCAGATTTCCTGCGACAACCACGTTCCCTAACCAGTTTCTCATCCTTTTCAGATGTCTAATCAAAGGTTGTTTTGTGTCCCTCCCCTCACCCTTCACATGCTTCTCATGTTCTCCTTCCACCCCTACTACTTGTATTTCTAATCCTCAGTTTTGTCCCTCATTTTATAGATTATGATTTTGGAGATGTCTTTCCAGCAGTGCCGTCCATGCCCAGCAAAGTCTGGGAAGGTGGGACAGAATCATCTCTTAAACCGTTTCTTTTCTGCATCGTTTCCATCCCAAGCTTGCTGCATGCTCTGTGATTTGATTTCTTAACACGACCCAATGCTCTAATCTTGATGGAATTCTGTGGCAGGAGAAACGGGCTTGGTGGCGAGCCGTTCCCCTGATGTTGGAGGTGGAGGTGTGTGCCACGTGCACTGTACAGGAGGATATGAGGTTCCCCGTACTGTTTCAGCTCCTTCTCCTGACTCCGCACATTACATCTTTGCGTATGTGTTTGGCCGGTGGCTTAAAAGACTGAGCAAAGGACGCATGTAGCTGAAGTCTGTCTCAAGGGAAATTTGATTTGTTCAGTAGGAAGGCCCCTCAGGATATTGTAAGGTCTGTATTGAGAAGGGAACCTTTATGCCAGGCCTAGAAACGCACATGTTAAATTGCTTGGTGACACTGACACTCAGTGATCAGCCGCCCCAGGTGGTTACAAATTTCAGTACTTAAGGGCTTTTCAGTGCAGCAGAGGCCATAGGGTCCCTCCATGAAGTAAAGAGCATGTGTCAATTGGCAGGGACATGTCTGGATCAATCTGCATCCAGACATTACCCACAAACTGGGAACCAGTTGCTGATTTAATTCTGCTTTTAATAAGGAGCTTTCTTTATTTCTAGGGAGAATGTTTTAATTCCCCCCC